TTTAAAAATTAGACAGAGGGTGCATGGCAACGTAGTTAGCGAGAAGCTGAAGGGACCCTGGCCGGCGTGGCTCAGTGGGTGGGATGCCGTCCTGCACAGTGACAGGCTGCCGGGTTCGATTCCCGGCCAGGACCCACGGCTGGGTTTCCGGTTCGGTCCCCGGTCGGGGCACACACAAGAAGCAGCCGATCAGTGTTTCTCTCTCACGTGCATGTCTCTCTCTCTCTCTCTCTCTCTCTCTCTCTCTTTCCCCCTCCCTTCCTCATCTCTAAAAATAGATAAATAAAGTATTTCTTAAAAAACGAACTGAAAGCAATATTATTTCCTACCACAGGATTTGGTTACATACATTATAATATTATCTTAGGTGGGGTATAATGACGCACAAAAATTCCGCTTATCAAGCACTTTGAGTGACACGTGGAAATGTGTGTCAAACAACGCTGGCCGAGAAACGCAAGGCAGCCGGGGAGATAGACGGATGGAAACACGCAGGGGCAGACGCGCCAAACGTCCGTAATTTTCTCTGGCTGGCTGGGATTAGAAGCAATTTGTATGGATTTTGTCTTTTTTTTTTTCATTTTCTCTACAGCGAGAATGTGTTATTAGTATCGTCTGTACCATACAACAACATGTATTTTTCAGGACTGATGAGGAGACACAGGAGAAGAGTGGGGGTCTTCCCGGGCCCCAGCCTCGGACCGCAGAGTCCACCGCCTGCCCACGGGTCAGGGGCCTGACTTCTCACCCCGTGCAAGGTCACTGCAGGCCGCCCGCTCCGGACCTGTCCTGGCCACGGCCTCGCAGGCCTGCTTCGCCAGGTGCGGGGGAGCCCGCAGTCCTGACGTGCACGCGGGGGCCTGTTCCTCTGCCTCTTCCGAAGCAGTTAGGAGAAAACCCAGGTGGCCCTGGACCTCACCATTCGGGCCGGGCCATGGAAAGCACAGAGGATGCAGAGCCGGGCCAGGGGCCGGGGCCGTTTCTGGGGACAGCTGCTGGGGCCTGAGCGCCTGCCAGAGGCTCTCCCAACCTCCCCTGGCACAGGACAGGAGAGCCACTGTGATCCCATTTCACAGGCGAGGCAGCGGAGGCCAGATGGCTTAGCCCCCCCACCCACCCAGGGTCATGTGACTCCTAGGAATTCAAATGCAAGTATGTCTGTGGCCACATAAGATAAGAAATCTCAGGGGCTGAAGAAAAAAAAAGTCTTCCATCCTGTCCTAATGAAAGGAGGGGGTGGGTCCCCTAGAGCATCCAAGGTGTCCCCTAACCCTAGAGCAAAGGTCCTGCCCCAGCAGAGGGTGCCACCAGCCCCGGAAGGGCCTGGGCACTGGCACTGCGGCCCTTCTCTGAGATCTCACACCCAGAGGAGCTCTCTCGTCCCAGCTTCCCATGGCCCCGGGGCGCGTGCCTCCCAGTGAGTGCCCCCAACGCCCAATCAGCCCATCTGCCCAGGCCCCGGGGGGGGGGGTGCCCGGGGAAGCCTGCCGCTGTGGGTCTGCACACCCACCCACCCAGAGGCGCTCATCCTGAAGCTCTGAACCCAGCAGCGACGCCTGCCTGAAGACATCAGGAATGCTTGCCGCCCTCATGTATCTTATTTTGATGTGTGCTTTCTCAAGAGACGGATGCATGAGTGTGTTTGCGGGGGTTTTAAAGAAAGGTCTGTTTTGCAAAAAAAAAAAAAACACAAAAAACAAACAAACAATAACTTTAAAGAAAATATCACTAAGGAAAGGCTCAGACATTCAGAACATTCTCTGAGAGCCTGGCAGTTTCGTGTACGTATTTAAGGGACATGCAGTGGGAAAGAACACCCACACCTTGGGCCGTTCCCAGAGCTGCTCCAGGGTCCCTGAGTCGGGGGGGCTCAGGACCAAGGCACACACAGACGCAGAGAGCTGGGGAGGCTGGAGTTGGTGGGGGGGCACCCGGGATTTGCAAGCACCAAGCCGTTGTCAGACACTGGCCCGAAATCCCACTTTCAGGCCAGGACAGGAGGCCAGCGCTTCCTCTGGGGACGCGGTGTTTGCAGACCCGAACAGCAGCACCTCACACTTGATGCCCCTCCGCTGGCCCCAAGCCCCTCCCGCCCCCAAGGGACGAGGGATGAAACAATTCTCACTTCACGTAAGCCGATGGGCTCACGAAAACCGTACATTAAACTCATTCACCTCGTCCACCAAAATCCGACGAGGTGAATTGTCTTCATACGACCTTTAGTGTTTTCGCAAGTTTCTGTGTTCGCACAAAACAGCAAAGGCCCAGCGAGCGTCTGCTGGGTGCAAGGCGTGTGTGTGTGTGTGTGTGTGTGTGTGTGTGTGAGTGAGAGAGAGAGAGAAACGGGCTCTGTGTTTTTCAATGAACACTTCACCTTTCGACCACCCTCCACCCCTCCGGCCCCTGAGAAATCAAAGAAAGTAATTTACTTGTTGAAACAACTACCTGAAACAGTAAGAGCTGCCTTGTTTGTTAGTAACTTTCCATATCCTGTGGGGCCCTTGGAGGCCGGGGGGTGCCCGGCCTGCTCTCCCCCTCCTCCGACCTCAGACCTCTGGGATAAAGGAAAATGCCCACACGCCCGTTTTTTTAAAAACACTCAAGACCACTGCACCCTAGCATGAGGGGCTGCTGCCCCGCCCCCCAGGGTCCCTGGACCACCCGCGGAGCCCAGGGGGGAGCCCTGGTTTTCCTAGAATTAGCTCCTCTCCTCCCTCTAGGCATTGCAACAGACGCACTGGCGGCATTTGGCGCTGAGAAGCATTATTCTGAGACGGGGCTGCAGGCTCCCCTGGACTTCCCGAGTGCCCTGCTGCTTAACAAAAGGATCAAGGAAGTCTTGGGGGCTTGGGTTAAAAATCCTCACGGAAGCACAGCCACGTTCCAGGACTGCCGGGGTCCGTAGGAAAATGGAGGTGCCGTTTTTTCTGGGGCAGCGAGGGAGGGGTGTTGGACACCCCTCGGTGCCCTGCCTTGGCACAGCACCAACACTGACCCGTGAGCTGCATACGGGACCTCACCCTCCATGCTTATGTGTTTTATGAAAACTTGTGATCTGATCTTCAAACCCAGGGGCCCTTGGAGATGATACGTGGGCACTCCCACGTAAGCTGCTAAAATTCCTTTACTTCTTCCAATGGTAACATTTTGTTCCCGATTCCAAACTACCACGGGAATATAATGGTGGGAATCACACACACACACACACACACACACACACACACAGACAAACAGGATAAAAACATTGAGCTTTTCCTAGTTCCTCAGAGGGTCTTATATTCATGCAAAAAAAAAAGCCCCACTCAGGTGTGGAATACCAACTTCACACATCAGCCCATCTGAAACTTAATGGACTAATTGGTGTCTTCGCTGCAAGCACAAACGGAGTGTGTCTGAGACTGGAAATTGCCTGAAGGAAAGACAGACCGTCTCTCCCAGCTCCAGGGAACAGCCCCGCTTCCCCCGTGCTAATTTGAGCTTTGCACTCCCATAATTGAAACCGTGGTCCGCAGTGGTTTCTATAAACAAGTCCATAAAATCATCGCATGCCTTTACCCAGGAAGGCCACCGGAAACATGTCTTGAGGGAAGTTACCTATAAAGAGGGGCTACTTTGTTTTCACAGGGGATGCAAAACAATTCACTTGGTGTCATTTCGAAAGTTCACTTGAGACAGAGATAGCACACAGATCCCGAGTGTGGTAAGACGTGAGCGCAAGCACGGCATCCGAGGCAAGTGCAAACTGTTTCCCAAAATTTATTCTGAAAGTCGCCAAGCATTCCAGCTTCAAGAAAGAATGCCTTCAGATCTTCAGAAATGTAAGGCGTGTATGTTTTGCAAAACATACCCCACGTTCTGAAGGATGGGCTTTTATTTTAATGTCCTTTAATAAACTGCTTTTTTTTTTTTTGAAACATAAGACTGTACTGGAGCTATGCAAGATTTACAAAGACTATCTGATTTAATGGCTGTGAAATATGGACTTAATTAAGGGTGAAAATAAGGATAAAAAGGATAGCATTTGGGGTTCTAAAATCAAACAATTCTGCTCATGTAACTGGAATGAAGCACATCAAACTCCCAATTTCACAATCCCTGTCTCTGGGAGCTGACATTTCAGCCGACCCCATCCTGGAAGCCCGAGAAGGAAAATCTATAGAAGGCGAAAGCCTTTGAGGCCTGAATTTTTAAGGTGTTATTGAACACACCTTAGAAAAGTAAAACTGAACAGAGCTTCTGAAACTGTGTGTACAGTGGGTGTTAACCCCATCCTCTAATGCACACATTTCAGACTAACACACAGACCCAGCCAAGAAGGACTTCTGACACTGTCTCCGGCCCAGTTCCGGGCAAACTCCCCTTTTCCCCGAGATTTCAGAGGAGCGAATGCCGTCGATGAAAACACAGCCCAAGGCTTCTCCCCTCCCTGCCGCCACCCCAAAGGCACGCAGCCCCCAAAAATATCTTTCTCCTCCTTTTAGCGTTCGCGGCTGACTTTTTTTTTTTTCCCCCCATTTCTGCCAAGGGCACCGAGGCACGGCGGCCTTGAGAACACTGCGACAGACCGGCACACGAGCACGGCACGGACGCCATGCCCCCGGTCCGCACAGACCGTCACTCCGGTTTCACTTCCAGGAGTGAGGCCACACTCGGGTCTCCCCCTTTGCAGATCTGCGCCCACGTTCCTCCCTGCACACACCACGCACGAGACACACTGGCGAGAGAAGCTCAGCAGACCCCACACTCCACCCCGCCCCCCCCTCCGAGCCCAGAGAACCGAGAGGCCATTCCTGCCCGGCGCCCACCGCCACACATCACCGAGAAGAAGGCTTACGCACAGCGCACAGAAAAGTAGGCACTTTATTAAAGACAAATCCATAGCCCCACAGACCGAGTTACCGCCATCTGAGTTAGGAGAACGCTCCCCTCTCAGCACGAAGGATCCGAAAGCCCAAGTCAACGTGTGTGAGTCCCGTGACCCCCAGCCACTCGCCAGGTACCTCTTCGCCTCCACTGGGGGCTGGCGGGCATCCCTGACGCTAAGGGTCGATCCAGAGCGTCCGAGAGAGAGAGAGCGCGCGACAGTTACAGGCCCGTCCTGGTCTTCGACCCTGCCCTCCGACCTCTCCGAGGGCGCTGCCGTCCGGCAGGGACCCGTCCAGCCCGGCGGGGACGGTTAAAGAACACGAGCATGCAGACTCGCGCCGAAAAGCCTTTGCCAAAGCCGTCCACCGCACTCCACGGTGAATTTACAAACCCCCATTTTTTCCTGAGTTTGAAGTTTTTAAGCCTTGCGGATGGTTGGAGTAGGAAAAAGGAAATTTACCAGGCAGCGCAGAGGAAATCTTGTTGTCCTCTATTGTGGCGGTGGGGGTGTTGCCCAACCCTGACTTATCTGCCTTGATAAAGGAAACCCGAGAAAAGAGCCGCGCGCGCAAGACTCGGTCAAACGGAAAAAAAAAAAACCCCTCTCCTTACCTTGATCGTGCTGGCCATAATGCAAATCAAGTGTATTGATCGTTAATAAATGTTAATGATAATTATTGCTTCTCTCTGACCAGAAAGGAGTTTTGATGAGGTTGTTTAGAGCGGATGAGATTGTGCTAACTCTGGGAAATGAAGTCAGCCAATGGCAGGAAGAGGTTTCTATTGGTCCTGGCTGCCCGGCCCGAAGAAACAGGATATTTGGGAGTGGAGAGATAAGAGACCCTGAAAACAATGTTGTTTTTCTTGATGATATGCAGCCAGGAGATTTTTTTTTTAATTACAAGCACGCAGCGCCCGGGACGGGGGCCTGCCGGAGCAGGTGTGACCCGGTGTGCGCGGCGGGACACGGCGCGAGGAGGCAGGATGCAGATGTGGCGAGGCTCTCCCGGCTTCACACGGGGCTGCCTGCGGCTGGGGACCCAAGGGCGCCCCGCCGCTGGGGCCGGGGCCGGGCCTGCTCAGCCCCCACCCCTGGACCTGCCGCACGCTCACACCCCCGGGGGCACGGGGTTGGGGCCCAGCCTCTGCTCCCTTCTTCTCCTGAAAGGGAACTTCGCAGGGAGAACTTAGTTGGAGACAATGTGTAGTAACAGCCGCTGGCTCGCCGGTTTTGAACACCCTTCATTGATTCAACGTCTCCGCGGGCGGGCGTCCTGGAAGGGTTTCATTGTGTTCCCTCCAGACTCGCCATCTTTATTTATTTTATTTGCTCCCCGATAAACCCGTGTCGAACACCAAGCCTCGAGAATTAAAGTGTAAGCAAGGAAAGCAAAGGTTTCAAATCCTTGCTCTCAAACACTGATTTAAAATCTGCATTAACTAGGCCCCGGCTGGCGTAGCTCAGTGGATTGAGCTCCGGCTGCAAACCAAAAGTGTCGCAGGTTCGATTCCCAGCCAGGGCACATGCCTGGGTTGCAGGCCATGACCCCCAGCAACCGCACATTGATGTTTCTCTCTCTATCTCCCTCCCTTCCCTCTCTAAAAAAAAAAATAATAAAAAATAAAATAAAAAATAAATAAGTTAATTAATTAAAAATCTGCACTAACTAAGATTACTAGGAAGGCTTTAAAATGTCAGCGAGCTGGTCCCCCCACCCCCGTGACAGACGTCGGGCGGCGGACCCAACGGGACGGACCCCGGGGTGCAGGGACATGCCGGGCGAAGAGGGGGCCTAATCAAGGGCCTCCAAGCTGAACTGGAAGTTCACGGCCACACGTCTGTTTTCCACCCAGAGGAAGTGCAGTTTGTAGGCCTGAACATTCCTCGGAGGGTTTCAGGCCTTTAATTACTCATTGTCAGGAAATTACTTGTTCTCTGGAAGAAACAACATTTTGCTTTGAATCCGGCGACATGAAAGTTGGACCAGAGAAGGGGTGTGGTCTCAACGGGGGACCCGCAGAGCACAATGGACCGAGTCCTGAGTCACCGGGGCCGCTCTGGGCCCAGAGCCGCGGGCCCGGCGGGTTGATCTCACCCCGGCTTCAGGCTGCGGGTGTCTCGGGGCCATAGAGTCTGTATGACTTTGATTGTCCCGAGATTTCCCCACTTGAGTACGGATGGAAGGAGGAGGGGAGGAAGAAAAAGGAGGAGAGGGGAAAGGGGAGGAAGAAGATGGAGAGGAGGAAAAAGAGAGAGGGGGAGAGAGAGGGAAAGAGAGAGAGGTAAAGAGAGAGAAGGAAAGAGAGGGAAAGAAAGAAAAGGAGAAGCAAAAAGAAGAAAGACCGAAAGGCAGAAAGACACAAAGAAAAATAAAGAGAACATAAAAGAAATCTCGTTCTGCGTAAGAATCAGACCCCGACAAGTTCTCAGCACCCACAGTTTGCAGGGATGTTGGTTTCCGCTCTTTTCATCTCTGAACAATGAAGGAGAGGGCGGCGGGCTGATTAAAAATTTGTTTCCCCTAAAATTTCAAAGTACTGAGTTGTTTCATCCGGGCAGCTTCCACTGGGATTCAGGAACACCGAGAAAACACACTGTCCACTACCCCGAGTCCTTGTGTCCTGCTCCCCTAAGAAGCATCCACTTAAAACGGTCACTGCGGTACCCGAAGAAGCAGCAGGGCCCCACCACGGGTTTCCCAGAAGGCCGTCCTCCTCGAGTGGGACGACCCCCGACGACCCCGACGCTGACGGAGTTGCCACCGGAGGAAGTTCTGCAGGGTCCATTCTTGGAACCACTGCCTGGTTCCGAGCCCTGGTCCCGCAGCTGCAGGGGCATCGCTGGCGTTCTCGGGAAGAATTACTTCTCCTCCGAGGGTCTGCCCTTCCCTCCTCGCTCCTTGCTGAACGCAAGTCAGCGAACGCTGACAGGTGACGACGCTCTGTTCGGACATGATTTCAAACGTGCAGCAGAGCGGTGCAACGATGCGAAGGGCTAGCGTCCTCTGCCCGGTTTCTCCCGCGCCGGTGGTCTGCGTCACGTGCTCCGCGTCCCCCCCCATGTATGTGAAATGCACGTGTGCATGCATGCACGTATGTGTTTTATGCCTTAGTAAGAATAAAGAAGAAACGTAACACTAGACGCTGCATTCGATCTATTTCCTGAAGTCCACCAAGACATTTCACTATGTCTGGTTTTAAAAATGTCCATACATTTAAGCCCTGGCTGGCGTAGCTCAGCGGATTGAGTGCGGGCTGCGAACCAAAGCATTGCAGGTTCGATTCTCAGTCAGGGCACATGCCTGGGTTGCAGGCCACGGCCCCCAGCAACCGCACATTGATGTTTCTCTCTCTCTCTCTCTCTCCCTCCCTTCCCTCTCTAAAAATAAACAAATAAAATCTTTTTTAAAAAGTCTATAAATTAAAAAAGTGATCTGATAAAAAACTAATTTTGAGATAACAAATTGTAAAAAAAAAAAAAGCAACCCTTCATTTCTAGTGACACAGCGTCGGGCTGACATGATCGTCCTCAGAGGGGATGACAGTTCCCGGCCGCCTAAGGGCACCCAAGCCTGTGCTCTCCGGACGTTGACCGCAAAGTTCTTGAAAACAAACAGAACTGCACTGGCCGTCGACAGAAGTCGTATCTGTTCATTCAGACACAGTCGTGTGCGTTATTCTGGGAGAAAGCCTGGGGGTGCAGACGCCCTGCCACCCTCCCAGCCCCCACCCCGGGCCCCTGCTGTCAGACGGCCTCGGTGCCGGCCCACTCTGCCGAGGAAGGACCCGGCTTCCCTTCCAGCCCGACACCCCCGTCCCTGGAGGCCACCCTCCGGGTCACAGGGCAGGCCCGGTGCATCCTGCCCTGAGTAATCTGTCAGGACCGGGCCCTCGCCCACCCTCCTCGGGACACGCAGACACCACTCTGGCTGGGCGGCCCTCCCGGTGCCGGTGGGAGCAAACTGCATGTTTCCACCCGGCACTTACCCACCGCGGACCCGTTACCACGGATGTACCAAAGCCCTTCGTTAAGTCGGTGCCTGTCTTACCCCGAATGAAAAGGAGGGAATCGTGGAGGAGAAAGAGCCCATACATTTACCGTCACTGCTTTGTCCTAAAACCGCGTCTTCCCCCTTTCCAAAGGCTCAACACACTCTCACCCCGGCTCTCTCTGCCCCGCTCCTCACGCGACCCACAGCAGGTGGTCAAGAGGTGGGCACGCTGGGTCAGGGTGACAGAGTTTGGAGACGAGGTGTGAGCACGGCCAGGAGACAAGGGCCGTCGGCGCACCTGGGACACGCCAGGAGGTTCGTGGGCGATCCACCGGTCCCTGCACAGAGCATGCGTACGACGGACTGCTCTCTTGGGCGAGGATATTGCAGCACAGTGACGCGGTGGGTGAATACTGCGTGATTTGGACAACTGCTCCGGTATAACGCCTCGTAAGTTAGAAATCTGGGTATAGAGGAGAATTACATCACAGACCCACGTGTGAGAAATAATTTAAAACCAAGAAACGTCGTAGGCCGTGCCCTGCAACACTGACGGGAGAAGGACCTGGCTTCTCGTGTCTGTCCCTCCCACCCCATCCCCTTGGGTGCATCCATGTCAGGGGTGCGGCCCAGCACCCAGCACGGCTCTGCACGCAGCCCAACGCAAAATCGTCAATTTACTGAAAACACGATGAGGCTTTTTTTTTGTGATTACATGTCACAATGTATTTAACATGTGGCCCGAGACAACTCTTCTTCTTCCAGGGTGGCCCAGAGACGCCAGAAGGTCGGCCACCCCTGCAAACATTTACAATCAACACATATCACGCTGTCATGTAAGCGCTATGCAGGTAACGTGCAACATTCTGTGTCCTCTGTAAATATCTGCATCGCAGGTCGCACACGATCCCTGGAGTTGTTGGTACGTGTGCACATCGAAGTGCACACTCCTTTCTAACTGTCCGCCACAAGAACAGAGTGGCTCACTTTCACTGATTCTGTGAGGGCACCCAGGAGACACAAGCAGCCTGTGGTGGCCGTCCACCCACCACCGACCCTGCCAGTCAATGGGGACGAGGGCCCTTTTCCACGCCGGGGGCTCCGGCCGGCCACTAGGAAGCCGGGGTGACAGGGCTGGGTCCAGCCACTGGGCGTCTCAGCGTGCAGGAAGTCTGTTAGTCAGCTCCGTTCCACACACACACACACACACACACACACACACACACACACACGTAACGCCGCACGGCCTGGGACCGACCCAAGAAACCCAGACTTTTTAAGGGCAAAACAATAGGACAAAAGTGCTGTACATTGTTCTTAAGATGACACATGAGTCTTAAAAATGTATACTGTGTGGATTATTCATGAGATTCCTGCAAGGAGGACGACGTCCCAAGGATATTTGCCAGGGCCACGCC